TTTTATACAGTAAAACGCTGCTTTTTACTTCCAGAAGTTGTAAGGATGCTTTCTTCTCACAAAAAGAATGTATAAAATATGTTGGTTTTACCATTTTGTATTTGTATATATATTTAAATATAATTAAAATTTATCTTAGACACCACTTAACTGTCACCGTCCCACAGGTGGGACGCTTGCCATTATATTTTTAAAACAATAATATTTTAGAAAAGACCTTAAGTAATATTGACAAACAATATATAATTTGAAAGCTTACAATCTCTTGTTTCCATATTTGGTGACTGATTTTCAAGCGTGTTCAGACCTTTATTTTGAAATAGCAATGAACATGAAAAATCATGAGAAAAAGTTAGAAACCTCAGTTTGATTTCATGCCAAGAGTGCGAAAGATAGCATACATTCAATTATTTTAGAAAAAAAGGTCTGAAAATGTTTTAAATATTACGAAAAAAATAATAGATTCACCATTTGTGTTATGGCAATAAGCTATAACGCGCATGCGTGTGTTTTGTATGTGATTCCTAGAGGTTAAATTCATATCAAAATCTGCCAAACTTCCCATACTACTTCTGAATAGGATTTCTACTTCATAAATTGTGTGAAATTTGTGAAAATAATGGTTCAGATCACTAAAAACACATCTGGAAATGGAGGCGGCCTTATATGGGCTGTAATGGAGTCTAGTTGTGCCCTAGTGAAAAAGTTTTGGTACTGCGCCCAAACAAAATCTCACTGAAAGCTCATTTTTTGAGATATCAACCTAAAATTTGAAACACAACTTGTTCAGATTTTTAGCTTTGATTTTTCTGCGGTTTTAGAGTAGCCCAGGTTTTGAAAATATATATTGTATATAAAATATGAATAATTAATTTTTTTACATTGTACATTTCTATAAACTCAAACTTCTATAACTTTTTTCTGTTTCACTTTCTTAATTTATTTCACTTCGAGAAAAATCTGCCAAATGTCTTCTTTAAAACGAGACCAATCTTACGTCTATATTCAAAAAGCATTCTTGAATTACAACCATTTAAATTTGAAATGAGCAACAACAAAAAAAGAAAGAAATGAGCATTTCCATGTCTATTCAAAAAATGGGGGTGACAGTTAAGAGGTTAAACCATTATCATATCACATATTGAATTTTGCATTATTTAACGAGTTATAGTTAAACTCTATGTATGGTTAAGCTATATAAAAGCCCCAGTGCAAATTGAGCCACATAAACAAAAAGACAGCGTTTAATTCATGCAATACCAGAGCTGAGACCATTCCATGCCTATTCTCTGAATAACAGGGGTTGTTTAGTATGAAATACTGAGATTTGGTGACGCTGCAGAAAAGCCTGGATTCAGTCCAAGGAGCACAGAGCAAAGCTGAGCTTCGTGACTCACACCACTACGCTTGCAGAGAAGCCCGGTAAACACTTTAACCTCCACCGAATGTTCTTTAATGACTAAAAAGAGACCTCACAAATAAACAGCCGCCACATACTGTTAAAAAGTGACGACAGTTCTCTTTTACGTCTCAAGCGGAAGTGATATGCCATTATTCGAAGAGAATAAGCTGATGGAAACATGCCTTGCTTCTGTCTAGCCGACTGTTGAGATAAAATCTGGCACTTGGCCCCATTCCCTCCTCCTCCTGGTTTTTAACAAGTGGGGGAAAAACAGAGTTACTGGAAGAGGGATCAGGGCATCCAAAAGAGTTAAACAACTCAAGATTTATGGGTCATCAAAGTGCGCGGGAACAGGCCGACCGCCACGTGGAGACCACAGCCAGGCGGACTCCCGCTGAGAGGATCTCTGCTGAGCACTGAGTCACCCAGAGAGAGCTGGGCAGCCCTGGACAATACAAGCTGTGCTCTATATGTGTGTGTGCATATGAGAGGCGTTACAAGTAGTGTGGATATGTATCGACACTGACATTTCTGAAATTGTTCCGATACTCCTTTTCAGCACTATCGATCATTTGACAGTTGGACACACACCCGCCTCAACTCACTCGCTCACTCCGGTTGAATAGTGCTTGTAATGCGGATAATTTTACTCATTCTCACAGGTTTTGCGCGAGCACCACTGATATGTGGCGATCTCATAAAGCCGCATCTCAAACATGGCTTTAATCTCGAAATGTTGCGACTTTGATCTCGAAATGTTTCGGCTTTGATCTCGAAATGTTTCGGCTTTGATCTCGAAATGTTTCGGCTTTGATCTCGTAATGTTGCGGCTTTGATCTCGTAATGTTGCGGCTTTGATCTCGAAATGTTTCGGGTTTGATCTCGAAATGTTTCGGCTTTGATCTCGAAATGTTTCGGCTTTGATCTCGAAATGTTGCGACTTTGATCTCGTAATGTTGCGGCTTTGATCTCGAAATGTTTCGGCTTTGATCTCGAAATGTTTCGGCTTTGATCTCGAAATGTTTCGGCTTTGATCTCGAAATGTTTCGGCTTTGATCTCGAAATGTTTCGGCTTTGATCTCGAAATGTTGCGGCTTTGATCTCGAAATGTTGCGGCTTTGATCTCGAAATGTTGCGGCTTTGATCTCGAAATGTTGCGGCTTTGATCTCGTAATGTTTCGGCTTTGATCTCGAAATGTTGCGGCTTTGATCTCGAAATGTTTCGGCTTTGATCTCGTAATGTTTCGGGTTTGATCTCGTAATGTTTCGGGTTTGATCTCGAAATGTTTCGACTTTGATCTCGAAATGTTGCGGCTTTGATCTCGAAATGTTGCGGCTTTGATCTCGAAATGTTGCGGCTTTGATCTCGAAATGTTGCGGCTTTGATCTCGAAATGTTGCGGCTTTGATCTCGAAATGTTTCGGCTTTGATCTCGAAATGTTGCGGCTTTGATCTCGAAATGTTTCGGCTTTGATCTCGAAATGTTGCGGCTTTGATCTCGAAATGTTTCGGCTTTGATCTCGTAATGTTTCGGCTTTGATCTCGAAATGTTTCGGCTTTGATCTCGAAATGTTTCGGCTTTGATCTCGAAATGCTAGATTTTTTTTTTTTTAGTTTGTGGTTCAGGGCTTCCGTACAAAATGCCCGTTTTGCAAAGTATCCAGGTAAACAGTCAGTTTTGGAACATAATATTTGAGAGAAAACACATGTTGTGTCTGCAGGGCTTAATTGACATCATTTCCGTTTCGTTTATTTTTTTGCATGTTGGTTGCACCACATGACTTTGATTTAAAAAAAAACATCTATATTTGTCTAAGAACTAAGATTCAAAAAGACTTTATGATATTAGGACAGTTGATTGAAGAAGCCGGCATTCATCACCAGAGACCAGTTTTTCGTATGACTGTGCAGTGATTATTGAACAAAACTCTAGACTAAAAGAGATAACAATAACTAAAAGCAGGTAAAATGGATGTGCTCTGTATTAAGAACTCATTCTGCTAAAGGGAAACTAAAGGGATTATGAAATAATAAAAACACATTTATACTCTAGTTCTCAGAATTTCTCCAAATAAATCGTTTTTCTTAGAACTTCATGGTCTTGCAGTAGGTGTGGGGTGAAGTTCAGAAATTGCTTGTTAACCAAGTAGATGTGGTTAAAAAATGAGAACTGAATTGCAAAACAGAACAATAAAAATAGAGAGAAGCATTGCAACCTGTTCGAGGCATTTCTGGTCACTGACGGGACATATTTATTGCATCACACACTATGATGAATCCACTTTTCTTTCTGGCTTGACTCATTCTAGGTGACTAATAATCGATCTTGTTGTTATTCACAAGATTCTCTATTGGTGTTTAAAAAATAATCAGGAAATATGAGTTACTGTGACGGCAGAACTACCGAATCCATGCGTAAAATGAGAATGTCTCTTTAGAGATTACAATCAGAAGAGAAACCAGAAGAACCACATCCACTATTAAAATGAGATTGAAGTATTCAATTAACATATACGTCGAACGCCAGACTGAACTTATGACAACAATCAGCAAAACAATCCTTTTAGTAAGAAATGACGTGAAACATCCCTCTCATAATCTCACTTTTTTCTCTTATCACGTCAAGATTAAAACGCACACCACAGCAGAATCCAAATATTGTTTACAACCCATTCACAACGTACTACTTCAAATATGAGTCATCCTTGTGGATCATGGGCATATTATGACTGATGACTCAATATCACTCACACGGATGACTAGTAGCACGGCAAACTTATAGCGGCATACAAACATCTGCTTTTCTCAGACACTATATCATACAGTTGAGCTTCACGTAGACCACCAACGAACCATTCACAGCGTCCATCAAAATATTCTACGAGTTTCCCAGTGGAAAATACCACATGAGGGGGTGTTCATGTGCATTTTCCACGTCGGCTTTTGGTATTTACCATAATTACCATAGCACATGAACGCAGCATAATACCACACCGACCAACTGTCACAACATTCTCTCTGTACAACGGCATCAACCAGCAGAGCTAACCCAACAAAATGGATGAAAAATATATATATTTTTTATTATGAAACTAATTATCTGCGAAATCAGTTACAAGTAAACTGTGCTGCGGATCTTCTGTATCATAGCAGCGGATCTTCTGTATCATAGCAACGAAACGTCTGAACGGAAAAACGCTGCGCTGCCAAAACGCTCTCAAGCGCCCACAGCTAGGCGTCTTGCGTTTTCAGCTCCCTAAAAACACTTTGGTGGACACACAGCCTAAGGGAGTTTTTGCGAAATTGAAGTGTTTCCATTGGGCCATTCCATTTTTCAATTTTCAATTTGCCCAATTTGAAGGGTAATGGAAACGCAGCTACTATATACGACCTAGCCAACATTTCATGGTGTGGCCGATATGAGCCCCATTATGATTTATCCATGTTGGCCCTATCTGAATTAGCCCATGTGGATCTCGTATAGATTCTGATTGGGGCTAATACATATGGTTGACATGGGAAACATGCATCGAGCCCAAAACGTGCCTAAAGTACATTGGCCCCACCCAGAAATGTCAACAGCCAACCGCAGTCTTACCGTGGTGTCGATAGCAGTGGCCGCGCTGGTGGGAATGTGTTTAGGGGCCGTGTTTGTGGACTGACACACCACACAGCCCTGTGGCCCCAAGGTGACAATGACTGAACCACAACCTCTGCGCAGCAGCTCCAGGCCCACGCGACTGGCATCCTCCACTGAGGACACGGACAGACCCGTCAACAGCTCGGCCTGAGAGGAACACCACAAGATAAAGAGGAAACAGTCACATTTATGCTCATAACTTTGCTAATATGCTTCTACTGTATGAACAGTTCAGATGCAAAAGCCTCTAAATGCCATTTGAAATTTTCTTCCTTAATGATGATTTTTATCAAACTTGTATATTTAAGTTCAGTGATTTCACTTAAATAACAATTAATAGGTAATTATCATTGCCATTTAAGTGAAATTACTGAACTTTAATATACAAGTTTGATAAAAATGGTCATTCTAGAAGAAAATTTCAAATGGCACTTAGAGGCTTTTGCATCTGAACTCTTCATATATATATATATATATATATATATATATATATATATATAAAGTTGTATATATTGACATGAGTTAATTAACATACCATGTTCTGCCTGAATATTCGATTCTGATTGGCTAGAAGGTCATAAAACCGTTTAATGCACAGGTAGTTCCAAGTCAGTTCAATCACCGTTCTATGTTAACTAGAGCCCGACCGATAAAGGATTTTGAAGGCCGATACCGATACAAATATTTTAGGGTTTTAAAATCCGATATATCGGCCGATATTTTTTTTTTATTAAATATTGTTGGATTTCACACACGTGTAAAAGAAAAGCTAACTTTTCTGCACAAGATACGTTTGATACTTTTTCTCTATGTCTAAATGTTCACTCCTCGCAAGTATAACGTACATTTTACAATCCAGGGACTGTAACTAGAGATATGCTAGTTATAAATACAGTAATCATTACTTTATTTAGGCAGAAAAAGTTCGTTGTGGTTTCCAACCTCATTAATGTTAACGTTAGCGGTCTTCCACTGACGATAGTGGCATTAGCTAGCTTTGTGGTTAGCTAGACTATGATGAGCCATAATTATACAGCAAATTGTAAAACATACATTTTCAATATAACAGGCCAAGGAGAGACGATTAAAGCGTGTTTCGTCCGTTTTATTTTATTTTTTAAATATTAATTTACGGCCATTATAACTGCGGATACCGATATTATGGAAAATGCCTAATATCGGCCGATAATATCGGTCTGGCTCTAATATTAACCCTCAGAGACCTAAGGGTATTTTTACAATTAATTTTCCGTCTGGTGTTTTTACTAAAAAAAAGCTTGTAAAACATCAACCCATTTGTGCACAGACAATTATTTTCAAGACAAATGGAACTTTCAGCATTTTTTTCAGCATCATTTGCAAAAAGTAAAAATGCATCTGCGTAGATGAGAGAATCATCTACAGTGTATGCGCGTTGTTCACACTGGCCAAGCATGCACGCTTAAAATAGCATCTGAATGTACGTGCAACGCCCCACTGACTTTAGACTAGGTTTTTTCTGGTCAGTGGCGCAATTGTTTTCCGGAACTGGGATTGTTTGCGCCGAAACACGCCTCCTTTATTACGCTGGACCGCAAGTTCATTCCCTAGTTTGTCGGCGTGAGTCTGTGGAGGGAAAAGTCCACTTTGCACGGGTACAAAATAAGAATGATACATCCGTCGGTGTACAAAGTCAAAGGCCCGATGTGATAAAACAGGTGAAATCCAGACATCCCAATTGGAATCTGTGTGATGTGACGCAGATTTTGCTCGTTTTGAAGTTGGTCACTTGAATTCGCTGTGCTGTCCAACAGCTGCTTAGTTTCAAAGTGATGTGTGTGTGTTTGTGTTGAGCATTATGCATTCCTGCACCATATATAGTACAAAAGACAATGGACCTTTTCCCCACAAAATCTTGTGTCAGCAACCTTTATGTCATTCGTGAATAGCAGAGTGTGTGTAAAGCCTGAGTGTCTTCAAAGTCTCTTCAGCCTGGAAAAATGTAGTGCTGGCATTATCGGTTCGCTAGTGCAGGTGTGATGAACAACCCCCACCAAACGACTGAAAGATCAGGGCAACAAGTATCCCCGCTGTATTTGTGTGCTTTAAGCTTTGCCATCAATCTTTCCTAGCTGGCTGCCAAAACAGAAAAGCGCACCGATTACTCATCAATGTGTGGTTATCTGCTTCTGTAAACTGCCGATGATTCATCCTTCACTCTCGCAACTGAAGTCGTCGGGTGAGAGTCAGGCATGCGTGCGCTGGGACTAAGGGGTTGATTTGTACTGAGGGCTCGCACTTTTAAGTCCCACCTGTACATTTTTCCCCCTCCAACCTCCCAGCCACATCAAAGCTGCCCTGCCGGAGAACCCCGGTTCAGTCTCTCAGTCACGCTGGAGCTTTCGCCCCAGGCCGGACTGACACACCATCTGTGCATCTGCCTGCCTGGTCGTGGATGCTTTAACTTTACTGTTTCCCATCAATCCAAGCCCTTGTCTGTCATCTTGCCCTGCCACGATGTGAAAGAGGGCGGCCTCAAACATAACAGTTACTGTAAGACGCAGCCGCCAACCCCGTAATTTCTTGCACTTGGCAGGTAGGTGACTTTTTTGAGCTTGAGTGTTTTGCTTTTAGTATGCCGGTCATGACCAGGCAGGATAAGTGAGCTGTTGGTTTACTCTAGTAACCTGCTTTAACAAACCTGACAACCTACAGGCAAAATAGGCTGTACAGGGTTAAAGGATTAGTTCACTTAAAAAAAAAAAAAATATCCAAGATGTCCGTGTCTTTCTTTCTTCAGTTGAAAAGAAATTAAGGTTTTTGATGAAAACATTCCAGGATTTTTCTCCATATAATGGAGTTCAATGGGGTCCAAATGGTTCAAGGTCCAAATGAGAGTTTCAGTGCAGCTTCAAAGGGCTTTAAACGACACCAGATGATCAATAAGGGTCTTATCTAGTGAAACGATCGCTCATTTCAAAAATAAATAACAAAGTTTAAGTTTTATAAGCACAAATGATCTGTGTGACTCCCCTGATCATCAAAATGAACGAATCTTTTGGTAAATTCAACGAACAAAATGAATGAAATGACTCAAAAAAGATTCGTTCATTTTGATGAATGAGTTCGAACAGGAGAGTCACACAGAGCATTTGTGCTTATAAAACGTAAACTTTTTTGAGAGTCACGAACGCGCATCACAGAACAGAGCAAGGCGAGGATTTGAGCTCATAAAACTTAAACTTTATCATTTATTTTTTAAATGACGATGGTTTCGCTTTCGCTAGATAAGACACTTATTCATCGTCTGGTGTCGTTTAAAGCCCTTTGAAGCTGCACTGAAACTGACTTTCGGATCGTTTGGACCCCATTGAAGTCCATTATATGGAGAAAATCCTGGAATGTTTTCATCAGAAACCTTAATTTCTTTTCGACTGAAGAAAGAAAGACGTGGACATCTTGGATGACATGGGGGTGAGTAAATTATCAGCAAAAGTTTTTTTTTGTTTAAAGTGCACTACTCCTTTAATGCAGTCAAAAGCCTGCATTTCTTTTTGGAATTTGTATTTTAAAGTTCATTTATTGTGCCTTTTTTTAATTTCCAAAAATGCAGAATATACTATGGCGACACACTAAAAATCATTCTGAACATCTTCTCATAGCAATGTGATATTTTTGGTTATGTAAATTAATTGATATTGTCTTTCACCTCAGACTCATTGCAGCAGAAAACATCAGATGCTTTGTAGAAATCAGTATGCAGGTCTGCAATAGCGGGAGCTGGATTAAAAATGGTCTTCACTGTAAGAAATATAGAAAATATTATTCACATACTGGGTCATACAGAGTGCAAAATGCAAAAGCCACAAGTAAAAATGCAAAGAATTTCTCAGATGTCAGATCATTGTTGTGAGTTATAAGAATCGGTGTGCACAGACAAAGCTCGGTCACAGATTCACACCACAGTTCACGTCAGTGTGAAACTCTCCCCTATCAGCTACTTGCATTCATCTGATTTGATATAAGCAAAATTTGCTGCTTTCTGAACACAACAATATTTTTATAACTACGTCAATACTTGATCAACAGTCCAAAACTTGTTCTATAAAACCCAACCACATAGGAAGTGACTGTAACCGAGGCACTATCTCCTTACTTCCTGTCGCTGAGGGGATTTCTCAATAGTGAGTTTAGTAAACACAATTTAACAGGTGGGAACATTAAATGCGTCATAAGAAGCATTGCTGCTGAATAATGTATCCCAAGTTTGAACATGGTCCTTACTATACAGAACAAGACTAGCTGTGAGAATGTATCTGATGAATCATGCCTGTTGCTGCTTATGAATTTCTGCTAATCGAATATGCACAAAGACATTTTGGAAACCTTAGAGCAGTTTCGACTTCCTTAATTTGAATACCAGTAATTGCAGCAGAAATACCAGAGAAAACATTTTAGCTTCAAATATTATTAGACAATGGAAGAAGGCCTTTGGGTCAGACATTTTTAGAGCCACTGCTTTAGTAGATCCAAAAAGTATGTGGACACTCAAGCCACACTTAAAGGAGTTCACTTTAAAAAAACTTTTGCTGATAATTTACTCACCCCCATGTCATCTAAGATGCCCATGTCTGTCTTTCTTCAGTCTAAAAGAAATTAAGGTTTTTGATGAAAACATGCCAGGATTTTCTCCATATAATGGACTTCAATGGGAACCAAACGGTTCAAGGTCTAAAAGACAGTTTCAGTGCAAACTGCAATCTGTTCAAAGGGCTTTAAACGATTCCAGACGATGAATAAGGATCTTATCAAGTGAAATTGCTCATTTAAAAAAAAAAAAATAACAAAGTTTAAGTTTTATAAGCTCAAATGGTCACCTTGCTCTGTTCTGTGATGCGTGTTCGTGACTCTCCTGTTCGAACAAGGTTCTTTGCTCTGACCATTTTTTTTTTTTTTTTTTGAAATAATGATCGTTTCGCTTGATCGCTTGATAAGACCCTTACTCATCGTCTGGTGTCATTTAGAGCCCTTTGAACAGTTTGCACTGAAACTGTCTTTTGGACCTTGAACCGTTTGGTCCCCATTGAAGACCATTATATGGAGAAAAATCCTAGAATATTTTCATCAAAAACCTTAATTTCTTTTCGACTGAAGAAAGAATGACATGGACATCTTGGACGACATGGGGGTGAGTAAATTATCAGCAGAAGTTTTTATTTTTTAAAGCAAAATTCAGAAATTTGAAAAATATTTGAAATTACAGTGTTATTCACTGTATATCTTTTTTTTTTTCTCTGTGTTTCCTAGTTTGAGCTTTACTGTCTGAAGCACTGAAATAATTTTCCGTTTCTGGGTGAACTGTTTCTTTAATCAAAGTGAGAGTGTTTTAGGAATAGGCAGTGAGCCGATCTAAAGAGAAATCTGTACTTGTGAAGTGAATAACGTGATGTGGAAGAGGAGGGAAATAATGAGGGAAAGTAAACGGCAATACTAACGAGTACATGAGATGAATGAATGAGTCATGCGAAACCTCACTTACTCAGAGATGCTTTAAAAAGCTCCAAAACAACAGAAACACAAGTTGTATGTGAACTAAATTCACACTAGAGTGATCAAACATCCCTTTAGTAGCTGATCTAAAGTATGAAATCACATGCTAGCCACATATCAACCGAAATTAACTACACTTGAGGAGAGAATCAAAGCTAGATGGCCTTTATATTCATTGATTTAAAAATGTGGTTAGGAAAGCGGTTCTCGGATTCTTCTCCACTGAGCCTGTGGGGGTGGCATGTGCGTAATCCAAGCCTTGAGCTCCGGCTAAGTGCTATTTGCGCACGTCATTGTCTGATGAATTCATCCCAAGTGATAGGCGCATAATCTGGGCTAATGGCCTGTCTCTTAACACTTAATATGGGCCGCTAACGGGCTAAACAGCATGTATCTGGGGTGTTGTGAGGTGGTGAATGTGAATATCGGGGTGCGTTGGTGTGGTGGTGTGGGGGGGGGGGGTATCCATCTGTGTCATCCATCTGTGGAATAAGCTTGCTGCATCATTGTACATCTCCATGATAGGGATACACGGTGTCTCTGATCAGCAGGGACCTGAACAAACAAGGTGCTAATGATATCTGAGACACAGCAGGTTGTGTTATTTTCCACAGGAGGAAAAAGTCGTGCTTTATTCTCACCAATCATTCAGTATAAGGAGCTAAAAATAGTTGAAAAGGAAATAAACTACTGTTTTTAAATGTTTATGCTATCCTTCACGCAAACCAATTGATGATTATTAGGGCTGTCAAACGATTAATCGCGATCAATCGCATCCTGAATAAAAGTTTGTGTGCACTGTGTATAATTATTTTATATATATATAAATACACACACATGCTTGCATACATTTAAGAAATATTTTCATGTATACTGTATATAGATTTATATATCCACAAGTTTCCTACGCCCCATGAGGCCTTGCGTCAAAAGTGGGCGCGACTTCCGGTTCGAAGTAAACAAAGCGCGACTTGACATGCTTCACACTGGTTCATTCAACAGTTGACAGTCATTCAATCAAGTTATAGCGATCCAAACTAGCTAACGATGTGGGAACACAACCTCAACGAAATTAAAAAGGGTGAAATAACAGTACCTTTACCCTCCGCAGTAGTTGATTGGGAGTATTATAATAACATTATTAATAATCAATACTCATCAAGGCATGGTGACAGACAGTTGTGCGAGCTGACAAACAATTAAAATAAAAAATACACACTTAGTCATTGTGCTTTGGAGTTTATTCAAAATTATAAATGAATGTGCTACTTGAATTCATTAACTGGCACATTTGGTATTCTGTCAACACAGGCTTTGATCCTGAGTTTAGGTGTAACATCAGTAGCGAACAGCCAATCACATGCTGATTGGAAAACTACAGTCGTCGGCAGGATCAGAGACGGGCTCTGGCAGGATCACTCTGATTTCGGTTTCAGCTTATGTTCAAAACAACCACGTTTAAGCCACTGAATTAGTTTAGTCCGGTTATACATACAACCGCGAACAGCACATGTTGTCCCTGAGCTCCGTAACGACATCTCTCATAAAGATTTGCGTCTTTAAATAGTAAAATAATTCTCCGAAAAACAGCTAGCCTCTTCGCTAACTAACACACAAAATACCATTGGAATGCTACTTCCGCCGCCTCACCGGAAGTTTCACCCACTTTATTTTTTACAGGCGCGCCCCTCGGAAACTTGTGGATAAATAAAAAAATGTACTTAAATATACATGCATGTGTTTATATAAAATAATTATACACAGTGCACCCACTTATATTATGTAAACACAAACTTTTATTTTGGATGCGACTAATCGCGATTAATCGTTTGACAGCCCTAGCAATTATAAAAGTACAGGACCCCAACAGTGCGGCAAAACAAGTGACTTTATGAAAGGAGTGTAAGGGAAGGGGAAGACCTGAATTGTGATACTTTATCCACATACATAAAGTATTGATTCTTGTAATGTCGCAAAATGCAATTTATAAGGCATAAAATTAGGGATGCACCGATATTAAAATTTGGACTGATGCCGATAACCGATAATTCTTTATATTTGAAAGCCGATAACCGATATATCGGCTGATAAATCTAAATCGAAATTTTTATATAATTTTTGAGAGCCTGAAAAACAAAAGTCTCACTATGTCCCAAGCACACAATTATGTTCTTTTTATAATTTTATGTAGCCGATATGACTTGCGCTGCATGTTGCACTTAACCGTTTTCTTTTCAAAGTGATTCCAATCAAACATCATGGTGAACAGTGCGCATCATCATATCAAGGAAATAATCCATTGTTTATCGGCTTTAATATATTGGCCATATATTGGCCAGATATTGAATATAATATATTGGCCATATATTGAAACGTTCTTATCGGCCCGATGTCCGATACCGATATATCGTGCATCCCTAATACAATATTAACATATTATAAAAAATAAGCATCACAATTATTATTATTTTTTTTAGTAAAGATCCTTTGAAAGAAAGTGCATTACGAAATTTGACTTGACAGGAATGAGACAATCAAGTACATTGAGATATGAAGCAAAGATGTGTGTCTGACCGTGGTTCTCTTTGGCCATTCTCAAGGCCTGCAGTGATGCATCTGGGTCGATCTCAAGCTGGCAAACAAGCACCTTGGCATTTACTATGGCAGATCGTGCCCGCTGTAGCTCCTCTTGCCCCAGAAGCATATTAGCACCAGCCACAATCACTATGGCATTCTCCCCTGGCAATACAATATATTAAACATGACGACAAGCTGCTTATTAAACCTTTAAGGAGACATTATTGACATTATTAATAACAAATCCACATTTACAAAGAATGCATTCATGAACAAAATTACAGGTCACATCATAGGAATACACTCTAAAAAATGCTGGGTTGTTTCAACCCAAATTTGGGTCAAATTTGGACAAACCCAAATGTTGGGTTAAAAATGCAATTAAAAAATGTACATTTGAAAGTGAAAGTTGAAGTTAGGTTCAAATTTTAAATGACATTTTTAACCCAACATTTGGGTTTGTCCATATTTGACCCAAATTTGGGTTAAAACAACCCAGCATCGTTTAGAGTGTATACAGTGACTCTAAAAACTATTTAGACATTCAAGTCGCACTTTAAAAATCCATTGCATATCATAATAAGTGTTCTTATTTAAAACAATGTGCTAGCTTTTAAGTAATAAAACAATACAATTCTTAAGACAAAATATGTCATATGGAACATGATGAACTAAAATGACCTTGGAACCTTTTTTTCAGTCTGAACATGTTTTTTTTTTTCTAATGGACTGACATTCATACATTTTTTTTTTAAAGTGGAGCCATGGATATAGGAGACACTTTACACACCCAGACATGTACGACATTCTCTCGCTATTGCACCACGAACAGACAGACACAAATAAAGAGCTGGCATAAGCGTTCGAAAAACCACATTGCAGAGTCAGGAGATATTATCAGTCTTTTCCTCATTTCAGCTTCCCTGTTAGCTTGCGAGATAATTGTTCAAATTCACATCGTTGTGATATTCACACAGGAAGCTGGGGCACTGGAAGTAGGTTGTCATGGTGATCATGACGCCAATCAGAGCTCTTCCTGGACTGCCACGCGGCTTAGCACTTATGCTGGATCATGACATTTACAATGCAGCAGGCCTTACATTCAGAGGCAGGCTGGTTATGTCACCTTTCTTTAAGTCCAAGTAGTGCTACATTAAACTGGGTCTAAAATTACCCTGTGTAGGCGAGGTGGACACAGGTAGAGAGCTTTTCACTCATCTATGTCTCATTCAGAAGAGTACTTAGTGGTGTTTATGTTATTTTAGGGGCTTTTAAAACTCAGGGATGCAGCAAGGCTCGGTACTTGGACCGATTTAATTTTACCTGTGTCGTTTACGATGATAGAGGCAGCTCCGGTCGCAGCATTTTCAGTTTGTTCCACATAGGCTAAGAGAGAGAGAGAGAGAGATAAGAGGATAACCTAAATTGCTAACGGTATAAAAAAAAACAGAACTCAATTTTAAATATTTTACAGTGTTTATAAATTGTGACGATAGAAGCAGCACATATGCAGGCTTACAAACTGTGTTGGGGAAGCTATTTTAAAATTTTAACTTGCCAAATTACAGGTTACTGATAATAAATAAAAAATCGAGTAATTGATTCAACAACAGTTAAAATTGGGGCTGTGAAACGATTAATCGCGATTAATCGCATCCAAAATAAAAGTTTGTGTTTACATAATATATGTTTGTGTAGTGTGTATAATTATTTTGTATATATAAATATACACACATGCATGTATATATTTAAGAAATACTTATATTTGCATGTATATACTTTATATACAAAATTAACATTATACATAAATATAAATATTTGATATATTAATAACACATTTTTATTAAATATATGCATCCATATGTGTGTATTTATATATACAAAATAATTATACACTACACAAACATATATTATGTAAACACAAACTTTTATTTTGGATGCGATTAATCGCGATTAATCGTTTCACAGCCCTAGTTAAAATAAAAAATACAGTTGATCAATTCAGCACAAAACATAACAAGCTAAATTACAAGTAACTAACAGACTGTAGATAAAAATGGCCAATATATTTTTAATCATGCCATTATCGGATTGCAAATACAGGGCGTTTCAGGAACACAAATAAACCATGTTCATACTATATATTTTTTCTTGCTTTTAACTTTCAAGTAAAATGTCTAAACATCTTTAAAGCAAGATTAATTTTTTGCTGTTTGTCACGGTTCATCATTGTGCAAGTGATGAAATCAGATCTGTTTGTTCTGATAGTATAATCAATATCTGATATATCTACACCGGCTGTTATAGTAATAATGACTTCGAGACATGGAGAGTCATGGAAATCAGAGGACGTAAAACCGGAAATTTTACAAACATCATGGCATCTCACCATACCGCTAAACTTTGACAACATAAATATTGGAGTCATAACTATATGTTATACATACAATCATACTTACGAATGTCATATTCATTCAAATGCTGGGTTGTTTCGCCTCAATTTTGGGTCAAACCCAGCCATTGGGTTAAATTTTTTAATTACATTTTTAACCCAACATTTGGGTTTGTCCATATTTGACCCAAAATTGGGTTAAAACTACCCTGCATTTTTTTTAGAGTAGAGGCACTATTGCACACTTTGTAATGTATTTCAACTCAAACAATGGGGGAAAACACTACTTTACAATGTTATTCATAATTACGTATCATTTTAATTAGATTTCAAACCACCTGCTGATTTGTTGTGTGTCGGGTGTGTAAAAAAATTCACTAAAAAATGAAATAATGTGTTGCATACATACACCAAAAATGCTTGATTTTAAAAGATTATTTTAGCTGGCAGAGAAGTGAAACAATATGAAAGCCCCGTTTGGCCATTACCAGTGGAAATGCCATTATTTTTGAAGTTTTGAATGTAGTCGTTCCCAAAAACGTCTCTGCCGACCTGAAGAGAAAAGGCAAGCAAAGATGAAAAGCGGAACTTGAGATAATATTTTCTAGCAACTGACTGACCGGCCAAAGTTCTGCATTGCTATATCAGGCCAAGCCTTCCAGATATAGCATCCCCAAACAAACGCCTCCTCTCTCCGAACACAACTTTAATCTCCCCCTTCTCTCCGTCTCTTCCTCTCTATGAGACATTCAATGTTGAGGTAGAGGGCAAAGGGGTTCCTTTTTTCCCAGCTGGGTCTGCTTTTATCCCACACTGGTAAAGACATGCCAAGGATGGGGTCCTAAGCCCCAGCAGCGGAGACCCTTCACTACCTGGCCTTCTGTCTTTGAAGTGTGATCTCTCTTTGAATGTTTTTGAAAGCATAGGAGTCTATTTTTACACGCTGCATACGCTTCGGTATTGATTGGGGTCTTTGCACTGACAAAATCAAGAGCTTTATTACTTGGTTAGGTTCTCTTGTGCGGTTAAATGCTGAAATACATGAATTGCTCTGGTATCTGTGTCTATATTCAGTTATTTAGGATGTTCAGAAAAGAAGACCGTATTGGGTACCTTGCACACCATGGCGGTCTTGGCCCCCATTCGTGCAGCTTGGACACACTGATTGGCCCCTTTACCACCGAAACCAATGAAGAACTTGTGTCCGTGTATCGTCTCTCCAGCCTTGGGAAGTCTCGGTGCCTGACTAACAGAAAGACATATAGGACTAGGCTATAAAAAAGTATAGAAAAAACTAAAGCACTCATCAAACAGTTAGTCAAAAATGTATCTAAGCAAGAATTGACTTGAGCGAAGGCAAATAAGTGTGATGAAAACATTCCAGGATTTTTCTCCATATAATGGACTTCAATGGGGTCCAAACGGTTCAAGGTCCAAATGAGAGTTTCAGTGCAGCGACATCAGACGATGAATAAGGGTCTTATCTAGGACCTTTTAAGTCATGACTCAAAAAAAGATTCGTTCATTTTGATGAACGGGTTTGAACAGGAGAGTCACGAACGTGCATCACAGAACAGAGCAAAGCGAGCATTTGTGCTTATAAAACTTCAACTTTTTTATTTATTTTTTAAATGTCTGATCGTTTCGCTTGATAAGACCCTTTTTCATCGTCTGGAATCGTTTAAAGCCCTTTGAAGCTGCAATGAAACTCTCATTTGGACCTTGAACCGTTTGGACCCCATTGAAGTCCATTATATGGAGAAAATCCTGGATTGTTTTCATCAAAAACCTTAATTTCTTTCCGACTGAAGAAAGAAAGACGTGGATATATTGGATGACATGGGGGTGAGTAAATTATCAGCAAAAGTTTTTTTTAAAAGTGAACTACTCCTTTAAGTCAGCAGACGGGTCTGTTGTGGCTGTTCGAACACATTCGACCACATGAGCGTTTACACTATGAAAGCAATCGGTCAAATGTGTTTTCGCATAGGCTAACTTTGGAAGTGGACATCTCAAAATGTTTTACACCTGTATTTAGGGTCATCCACTTGTGATCTGATCTAAAATGATTTTTAATACAAGGTGGGCCTCAGTGTTTTTATCTATATAATGAAAGTCAATGGGGTCCAATTATAACTGTTGAAAAGAAAGTCAACCCATATCCACCCAAAAGAAGAAGTGCATCCAAGTAAAAAAGGAATTAATGAAATTTCCCCAATTTCGATGCAACCTGTTCAGTTCTCTTAATTTTAAAGTAATTATTAAATGAATGCATTGTAAGTGTTCAGGCTCTAAATCGCTAAATGCACTTTGTCTTCAGAGGAATGGCAGATGGTCCATTCAGTCAGTTCTAAAAAGTCCATATTGTTTAAATGAAAGGGATTTTTACTGGAAACATGCTTGTGAGCTGCAAATGAAAATAATATGACATGACATCCTGAGCCCTTCTAAATCTAAGGCAGGTGCCCTGAACTCCCTAAAAAGCTAATTGCTGTGCTGTTTAGTGCGTGACATTTCAGAGCGGGGTCCATCAGCCTTTCACCCGAGCAGAACTAGCGGCTATTACTCATTCTATTGAACAACAGAAGAAGAAAAAAAAAACTCAATCCCAGACATCTAGTTACGGTCTGGCCCCAATCCAAGTCTCCAGGAGCCCGTGTTTATGTGATGGCAGAACGAGCCGATAAAGTTGTTTTTCACATGCGTGTTGTGTGGTTAGGAGAGGGAATATTACAGGAAGTCAATGCGGATAAACAAAGATCCTGCCACGATTTCAGTAAGGCGAGTGGTGTTGTTTATGATGTTTTTGATGAACTGTGCTAAATTATGTTGATAAAGAAAAAAAATACTTCAGATAAACTATGCTAACTAATGGAGGAAAATTATAAGTGACCACAAGGCATATTTCAAATCTAAAAATTTTTTTTTTTTTACACTTTTGAATTGAGTTGGTTTTCTCACACAAACCGCTCGTTTCGTGTCTTAGGCCATCAATGTGTACTTACATTTACGAGTCATTACATCATGTTTAATCTGGACTTCTCTGTGCATGATCTTTGAGGTGGTGACCCTAGACCTCCATTATATGACTGGGTCATGACTTTAGGTCAAACCGTTCTTGTCTGTCAGTCATATAATGGAGGTCTATGGTCACCACCTCAAAGAGCATGCACAGAGAAGTCCAGATTAAACATGATTTAATGGCTCGTAAATGTAAGTAAACATTGATGGCCTAAGACATGAAACGATGCTCTTTGAGGTGGTGACCATAGACCTCCATTATATGACTGACAGACAAGAACGGTTTGACCTAAAAATATCAAAATTGAAACTACTGCGGAAACAAAGACACCTACATCTTGGATGCCCTTGAGGTAAACTAAAACATACCAAACATTAATTTCAAAGTGAACTATCCCTTTAAGCACAACACTACTATTGCAATAAGCAATGATTTCGGGTCAGCAAAGAAGACGGGAATTGTAATTATGACCGCACATGTGCATAGATTCACTTGTACAACCAAAAGGATTCTGGATCGGAGTCATTCACGAGCAGCTATTTCATCTAAATCTAATTCTTTAAAGCTGTTCACCAAGCTTTTTATTCAATTTCATATTCCAAATCAACAATGAAATCTGACAACTGTCTCATAAATTCCACTTCCAAAAGCTCAAATCATGAAAAAAACAAACCTACAATTTGGGAATCAATTGGCTTTTGTTGTCTGAGTGAGTCTTATCTGTGTCACAGTCAGACTGGCCTCACCTTAACTCCTCATTCAGTTCCTCTATTGTTTTATGAGCAATCATCATTCTCTCAAAAACCCAGTTCTGACACAAACGCGGTGACTTTCCTGTGCGAGAGGAAACAACAGGTGTTGTGTGACGGAGCCTGTGGTCCCAGCAGATGTTCACTACTTTATAAACCTCAAACAGCCTGCATGAGTAACAGTGTGTGATGTGTGTGCTATTGTACATTGTGGCAATACAAGAGCAAGTATTTGCTTTTAACAATTCATTGATACATTATTATTAATAATAACTAGCACTTTTATTTTTGTTTTATTTTCATCTACAATAGGGTTTAATTAAAACCATTTCATTAATGTCCGTGCAGAGTCTATTCCCTTTTATTTATCCATGCCACGTGCATTTTGATTTTTTATATGCACTGTAAAAACATATTTTCATGATTTGTAATCACAACATTTTTTCTTTTGTCAAATCAACTTAAATAATTTATTTAGTTCAGATAACATATAATTTTGAGTTTCGATTGATTAAATCAATCTCCATCATTGTATTAACTCACTTTTTCCATTTCAATGAACTTATAATTTTAAGGCAACCAGATTGCTTACTTTTTTAAGTTAAACCAACAATATTTTATTACTTTTTTTCTTTTTTTTATTTGTACACTGTAAAAAATATTGATGTTGAAAATATTAAATAATACAATTAAAGAGATTAATTTAATCATCAGAAACTCAAAATAATAAGTTACCTCAACCAAATAAATTATTTAAGTTGATTTGACAAAAGAAAAAATGTTGTGATGTGATTACAAATCTTGAAAATATTTTTTTTTTACAGTGTAAGGCAATAGATTTTTTTTTAATTATTATTATTTGACATGGTCATTTTATAGCATTGTTCAAGTACTTTGAAATATCATGCAAATGCCATGTATAATTACAGTGATTATTAAGTACCATATAAACATACTTTAAATCAAGACATTGCTTTTCCAGGCACTAGTCAATTTTGAAGTTCTGGGCTATTTTACTTTCATAACTTCAGACTAATGGAAAGAACGCACAATTCAAAATGCACATTTAAGTGTTAACTCTAATGTCAACCAAATGAAATTAATTATGAACCTGGCTTTATGCAGCGTTTAGATTTCTGTGCTGGACGTTTATGCAAATTATTAGTGTATATTTAATTCGTAAATGTATCATTTGCATATTTTTCAGAAAACTTGTATTGTACATATATTTTACATGCAAAAGAGAGAGATTAAAATGTAAGCAAAGGAGAAACATAAAATACTAAACAGCACTAGAAAAAGAAAATTTTAATTTAAATTTTACATTTACAATTTCTTTTTTAAAAGAAAAGTACTTATTTTTGAGTAAGTACCATGTCATTTCCATTGTGCATAATATGCTCATCATTTAGTGCTGATATTTATCAAAGTAACAGTATTATCAGTAATGTCTCTATTACAAAAAAGGCCCAGTTTGAACCAAAGATAAAGTTCCTGAAGTTAATTGTTTCATGAATATATGATTATGCAAGACTCTCGACTAACATCACACGGCGAGTGTAAGACACTGACGGCTCCAATGAAGACACACCGATGGGTTTGAATAGTAATCAGCAGGTGGCACTGTCTGTCTTCAGCACACACACACACACACACGCACACACACGCACTAATGTTCCGCACGATACACTGACTCCGTTTGACTGTCACAAACACAAGCCACATCGAAAACTGGATTTTACACTTCAAAGCCATGCATAGCACTTTGATGGGTGAAATGTGTCAGCCACCATCCAAAAAACACAAACACACACTTCCCATCACAACTATTGCCTAATTGATGCAATCTCCTCTGTTCAAAGGCCAACACTGATGACTGCATGTTTTTAATGGTAACGCATATGAGCAAATGGAATTTTTTTGTTTTTTCCATAAGGGGTAGTTTGTTTTGATTACTTAGGGTATGACAAAGAAAGAAATGAATATGATTTAGTTTTGTATGGAAAGGAAAATGCTGTCTCTGGATAACCCAGCTCTTTGAGAAATATTTCCTCTTCTGAACAAACACCTGACCTGAATTATTCATATCTGGCATACCTTGTCCTGCGCCAATTGTGGAATGATACCTCAAATAATAAAAAGTGAAAAAACGGTTTAACAAGGGTTGGCTATGCTTTTTTACCCCCTACAAAATTTAACAGTGGAAAACTGTTAATTGGTTAACAAAAAGTTTCCTTTCTATATACGGTAAATAACTGTGATAGATGTACAGTTTTTGAAAGTGAAATAGAAAAACTCAACCCTGCGTGAGACACTTCACATTTAATGTATTTTTGTTTTTCTAATCAGTTATGTACATTAGGGTTTATGTTAAACTTAATGTTGTTAAATTTATATTTATTGCATTTTTTTTTTAAAATTTCATGATGGTGTTTAATGTTTGTGTGAATATAAATTACTATTAACTTTACTGTGGAAGAGTTGCTTGTGATGAGCTTTGATTGATCATGTGACCTATCACTGTTGTCATTGTTGGTGGTCAGTCAGTGTATAACAATGGTTCAAAACAGATATTAATACTTCAATTGGTCGGTAAATTAACATTATATCAGATAATGAAGTACGGTTTATTACTGTAAATTTTAAGTTAAATCTGTAAAACCAATAACGTTGCTACCGTATTTTTGACGGTAAAGTTCTGGCAACCACAGCCGTTTTTTACCGTTTTTTACGGTTTATTTTTTACAATGCACATTAAAAGAAGGCCCCAAGAAAAATAGATCAGTATAACACAGAGACTTGGGGCATATTTATATATGCACTATACTGTTCAAATATTTGGGGTCAGCAATGATTTTTAATTATTATTTTAAGAAATCATTACTTTAATGCAGAAAGAAAACAATAAATTGACCAAAACATTTGTTATTCAAAAATATTTCAATCAAAATTTAAACTCATTTAAATCCTCATTTAAAACACACGTCATGGTTTTCACAAAATACTGTTTTCATCATTGATAATAATCAGAAATGTTACCTGAACAGCATATATAGCCCTCAATCGGGTCATGGCTTCTATACGACCCCAATCGACTTTTACTTAATAAAAAAAAAAAGGTTCCCTTCAAAAAACTGGGCTTGATTCGGTTGTTCTGAAGGTATGTAAAAAAATGTTTACACTTCTGGTCTTCGGGGTCATGTGAAAAAAATAAAATAAAAAATAAATATATATTTTCTTTATGTGTCCAAAAAAAAAAAAAAATCCGGTATAAAACTGAAAATTTTTACACAGAAATGAAGGCCTAGTACTACAGCATAAATGCAATGTATCATAAAAAAAAAAAAAATATTTTATATGCAAGCTAATGGTGTAGTTGAGGAATTGTGTGGTATATGGATACAAAAGTACTTTATATCTCCGAAAACACAGCATTAATGAATAGATGAGAAGTAAACAAAAAACAAAAAGATATATTATTAGTATGATTAAAAATTTATATTTTTTGTACAATTACTCAATCAATTGTTGAAGCCCATAAGTGTAAACAGGAAACCAAGACCATTTGAAGGTTAAATGACTTCTGAAAGATCATGTGACCCTGAGGACATGGAGTAAAGATGCTGAAAATTCAACTTTGACATCAAAGTAATAAATTACACTGTACAAATATAAACTCAGGGTGTGTGCAAGGTGAAAGGTAGCTAGTTTGCACAGCTGCAAGAGTACGCCGTATATTCCAGTCAGAAGGTGCACCTGTGCTGAAACACTGCAGTCAGTATGACTAGGACAACAACAGAAAAAACCTGCCGGCGGCAAATATGACCAGTTGAGCAGTGAATCAGTTCCCTGTGGAAATATTAATAATAGACAGAGCTGGCAGAACAGAAGGCAGTTCCCCAAATCTGCCTTTGTTGGACCTTATTTGGTTCCTGCTGGAAGGACTAATTCCTTTCAGAGTTATTTTAAAATCTTAAAGTCTGCCTTCTGCAAGTGGAATATGTTCCACGATGAGTGTGAGAGTGTGTCATGAGCATGAAATCAGTGTTTAGTATGATATGTGAGGTCTCAGCTTTAAGTTCATAACCAGGGTAGATGTGTTGAATGTAAATTTCAAGTTAAGCATGAAATTGAACATGAGGACATGGACATTTCTTTATATTATTTGACATGTTAAAGGGATAGTTCACTTTGAAATTAATTTTTGATATGTTTTATCTTACCTCAAGGGCATCCAAGATGTAGGTGTCTTTGTTTCCACAGTAGTTTCAATTTTGATATTTTTAGGTATTTTTAATGCAGGTCTATGGTCACCACCTCAAAGAGCATGCACAGAGAAGTCCAAATTAAACATGATTTAATGACTCGTAAATGTAAGTACACATTGATGGCCTAAGACACGAAACGAGTGGTTTGTGTGAGAAAACCAACAGTATTTATATCGTTTTTACCTCTTGTAACCTCAGAGTACTTGGACGTGGTTGTGGTTACAAGAGGTAAAAACAATATAAATGCTCTTCGTTTTCTCACACAAACCGCTCGTTTCGTGTCTTAGGCCATCAATGTGTACTTACATTTACGAGTCATTAAATCATGTTTAATTTGGACTTCTCTGTGCATGCTCTTTGAGGTGGTGACCATAGACCTCCATTATATGACTGACAGACAAGAACGCTTTGACCTAAAAATATCAAAATCGAAACTACTGCGGAAACAAAGACACCTACATCTTGGATGCCCTTGAGGTAAGATAAAACATACCAAAAATGTACTTTAAAGTGAACTATCCCTTTAAACTATCATATCATTTGAAAAAAAAAATGGTTGTTGTATATAATGTCTACTCAAATGTATTTGTATATAATGCAAAAATGCTCTTCTAGAATGGGTCAGTATGGTTACATAGATCTCTATCGTTCATTGTCACTGTAGATATTGCTACTTTTTTTTCTTTTCTTTTTTTTGTTGATCTGAACAGAGGAATGCATTACAAAGGCATTTTTGATCCCTGTGTTTTAAACATGTGGCACATATTTGCCCCAGGCCTGGTTCACTAGGACACTGAATCCTTCGATGACTTACCTTACTAAATCAGTCATACAAGATCCCACCACTACAACACTCACGTCTGCACACATGACCTGGTGACATTAATAATAACAAACACAACATTTAGACTGAATATTAAAAAACTACGACATTATTTACATGCATTTCAAATGAAATCTTGAGATTAAATTTCAGAGAACAACACTTTAATGCATAAACATTGGTAGTTATGCTCCACATCAAACATGCCTACTTTAATGTGGATGATTATTTCAGGACTGGATCATGTGATTGACAACAACCATGGAAATCCTTCATTAATTCAATCCCTCGCGTGTAGGCACCGTATGTGAATAGTGGAGTGTTAATCTGCTCAAATCTCCCAGCATGCCTCAGGGGACTGCAAAAGCCTGCCGCTGGCTAAGGAACAGCCTACATTTCCTCAAAATAACTGAAGTCCAGGATGCATTTTCTGCATATTTAGATTCAAATCAGTCTTAATGGTTTGAATAGCTTTGAGTGTTTTGCTGTTTGGGCCTGAGACTTAGATATGATCCTCTCTGCACGATAAAACAACAAAGAGAGTCGCAAGTGATAAACATAATTAAATCATGTATAATATGTATAGCTTTATTTTGCATGGATGTCTAAAGAGAAAATTGTCATGGAAATAATATGAAACAAATTATTCAGTCAGAGTAATTCGACAATCTGACAAAATAAAGTCATTGGTTCCTGCAGAAACACAATGTGCAGTGTTGGGAATAACAATATCTAGTTAGGTTGATAAAATCTTTTTTATTTTATTTACAATCAGAGACACTGCGTGAAAATGTTTGAGGATTTTTACAAAATGTTTATCTATTTTACAAAATTTTTACACTGTTTATCTAGGCTGGTATTAATTCTTTTGCACTGTCTAATATCTACACTGGAAAAAAAATATGTCTAAAGCTGTAAATAAAACTATTTTAATAAAATAAAAAATTTTCTTGATTAATTAAATGTGTTTTATGCTGTTTCTTTGTAATTGTTTATGAAATTTACAAGCAATTTCTGAGTGCATGTTATTCATTGTATATGAAATACATATCTGTGCATATATATATATATACACACACACTATTTCTAATATTAAATTACTAAAAGTTTTGTTTCTTATATTATTGTTATATTTCATTTCTATACATCTGCACTGGAAGCTTCTGTCACCAAGACAAATTCCGTGTGTGTGTGTGTGTGTGTGTGTGTAAACATACTTGGCAAGCTCAATCTGATTCTTGATTAATCATCTCATTTACAAGAATTCATGCAATATCACATTAAATAATTGCAAGTGTGTAATGAATTAGCGTTTAAAATCATTTGGTAGGCAACATATTAATATTGTACATTTTTACCTATTTGTCCACTGAACAAAGCGATATCTAACCTGCCAAAGCAGCACTTTGTACTCGCGTCTGACAACACAGAAACACATGCATGTGACAAGACACAAGCCCACTTTGAGCTGTCCCACTATTCGCCTGTCTTTAAAATTACGCATTTATGCTTTCAAACGAAATTTAACATTATTAGCGTGTAGAAATTCTATATATGTTTAATACAGTATATCATTGAACACATGCACGTATTATTCACGTAAGTCATTCAGGAAAGCCGAGGTAAAACTATCAGGCATATTGATAAACATCCGTAAACAAGTCTCAATAACAACAGCGGAAGTGAGGAATGATTTCATACTCGAAAGTTGTTCTACTTTACATATAAAAGGTACTGAAAAGGCATTTGTTACTTACGAAAATGTATTTGATCGAAACGACTTTTTTTTATAAAGAAGGAAACATAATTAGCATAAAGAAACTCGTTCATAGTGCAGGATTAGCATGCTAGCTAGTCTGTTAGCATATATTTGCAGCTCTAAAACAAACTGAATCATCAAATCAAACTACAAAACAAACACAAATTCTTCGATTCACTCATCCACATGTTTTGTGGTAGTGTTGATGTTGTGTGTGTCATTGCAGCTGCTCGACAGTATCATCAGTGTTATTGATGTGCTCCAAGATAATAATGTGTTTCACATTATTAATATGTGTTTTAATATGTGTTAATATATTATCCAAGATAATAATGTTATAGCTGAGTAAGTTATCACGCCACGACTTTTTTTTTTAAATCACGTTTTCTGTTTAAACAAGATTTATTTATTCTATACTGTGGGAATCCACTCATTAATTAGTGTCAACAAGGACAATGCAGCCTATTTTGAAGAATGTTGGTAACCAAACATGGATGGATGGTAACCACTGACTTCCATATTATTTTTTCCTACTATGGAAGTCATTGGCTCCTGCCAATTGTCTTGTATCTGGACTTTAAAGTTGACTCAAACCTCTTGTAGTTGTAATATTAATGTGTGTTAGCGGGCCATGGGTTCGATTCCCAGGGAAAGCAAGAACTGGTAAGAATGTATAAATGTGTACCTTGAAAATGCAATGTAAGTCGCTTTGGATAAAATCATCAGCCGAATGCACAAATGTAAATGTAATACAGTCTCAGTCTACATTGCATTCACACTGGTGTTTTTAGGAAGCCAATCAATTAAAATATAATAATACAAATAATATATATATAATTATATCCCTAAAGGCCTGTTCACACAAAGAACTATAGCTATAAAGAAAACTATTAATGTCCCCAAGTACTTTAAAGCAGAATGAATTCTGATTGGCTGTCAAATGTTTTTATCGTTCAACATTTGGAAAAAAAAAAAAATGTTCTTAAAGTGCGTTTCTTAGTGCCGTTATTGATATAGTTGTGGTATGAGTGAACTCTTCTATTCTTTCATATTTAGAACTATTTTTAGAATTATATCTTAATGGTTATCATTATAGTTATTGTCCTTGGCGTGAACCAAGACAGTAATATATTAGTAATATGATTTCGATGTAAGTTTGATTGCATGCTTTTTCAAAGTAATGGCACAAAACGCAACATTAGAGGAGGTACAGTATATACTGTGTGTTATGATAAAAAGAGAAGAAATGATCATCTTATTAAGCTGTGACGGGACAGAATAGACCAGGGCTGGGCAACTCTGGCCCTCAAGATCCTCTCCATCCCTGATCAAACTGATCATCCCTTGATGATCTTGTGATCAGAGTTAAACTCTGCAGGACAGTGGATCTCGAGAGCCAGAGGTTTTAGACTATTTATTTTACAACTCATGGAAAACACTCATAATGAATGAACATCTAAATGTCTGTATTGTCATGGTGTCTGATCTTTTGTGTGGAAGATGAACAGTCTGTCTCCAGAAGTGGCGCTGAGCCGGATCTCTCCGGAGCTGCGGCCGTTACTCTGCACCGTGGTGCGCAACGGACGGGTCGGGTTAGACTCCTCTGGCTGTCTCCGGATCACTGACCTCAAGACTGGGTGAGTCTTCTATGCAAACAGCGATAACTTTTAGGGAACAATGTATTTGTTGATGAATATGACTAATATTTAATGCAACTAAAATAGCCTGCTTACTGAATTAAAATCTTATCACAATTGCTCAATCAGAATTACAGAAAGCTGAGGGGACTTTTCTGGATTGTTCAATCAGGAGCTTCTGCTTACCATAGAACACTAGATTGAAAATAATATCAACACTTTATGTAAAAAGAACTGCAGTGCAATATGTTTGCTGAAAAAGTCATTTTTCCATCCCTTTGCTGAGCTTTGCAGTACGATTATTGCAGTCCCTTTTCATGTAGTCTTAATTCAAATACATTCAATTATTAACTATATTCACAACTATATTAAAGAATTAGTTCACTTTAAAAAAAAAAACTTATACTGATAATTTACTCACCCCCATGTCATCCAAGATGTCCACTTCTTTCTTTCTTCAGTCGAAAAGAAATTAAGGTTTTTGATAAACATTCCAGGATTTTCTCCATATAATGGACTTCAATGGGGTCCAAATGGTTCAAGGTCCAAATGAGAGTTTCATTGCAGCTTCAAAGGGCTTTAAAGGACACCAGACGATGAATAAAGGTCTTATCTAGCGAAACGATCGGTCATTTAAAACCAAATGACTCGAAAAAAGACTCATTCATTTTGATGAACGAGACTCACAAACGCGCATCACAGAACAGAGCAAGGCGACCATTTGTGCTTATAGAACTTAAACTTTTTTATTTATTTTTTAAATGAGCGATCGTTTCGCTTGATAAGACCCCTATTCATTGTCTGGAGTCGTTTAAAGCCCTTTGAAGCTGCACTGAAACTCTCATTTAGACCTTGAACCGTTTGGACTCCATTGAAGTCCATTATATGGAGATAATCCTGGAATGTTTTCATCAAAAACCTTAATTTCTTTTCGCCTGAAGAAAGAAAGACATGGACATCTTGGATGACATGGGGGTGAGTAAATTAACAGCAAAAGTTTTTTTTTTAAGTGAACTACTCCCTTAACTATATAGTATAACTAGTTTTAATTGGTTATGTAGTTTCTTGTGTCATGAGGTGAGTTTGACTTAACCCAAGGGGCGCATGCCGATCAGTGCCTGACAAACGCAATGCATTCTGGATAGAAAATTTGTCCGGCTTTATTCGGTGCCACTGACGCGTTACATTCACGTGTCATTAAAGTTAACGAGAACAGTTGCCTGGGTCACGTGCTTCAGTTGCCCCAAATCGACTGTACGAGCTCTGATGATGTCGCCGATTCACGATTGGCCGAGTTTCACCAACTCAGCATATTAGAATGATTTCTGAAGTATCATGTGACACTAACTTAAGTAATGATGCCGAAAATTCAGCTTTGAACACTGGAATAAATTACATTTTTAAATATATTAAAGTAGAAAACAGTTTAAAAACATTTTAAATGGCAGTAATATTTCACGATATTACCGTTTGTATTGTATTTTTGATCAAATAACTTCAGACTTCAAAAAAAATGTTTAAAAAATACTATTCCAAACTTTTGACCGGTAGTGTAAATGCACTTCACATGTACAAATGAATAAAGATGGACGTCTTCAGGAGGGCATATTGAACACTCTTGCTAAGTTATCCATGTGTCTTTGACAGTTTTTTTCTTCTCTTGTCTCTGTTTTCCCTTTAGCTGCACATCACTAATGCCTGGTCCTTGCTGTGACAGATTTAAACTTCATATCCCATATGCTGGAGAGACTCTCAAATGTAAGTAGTAGTTCTCTTCTAGAGTATGAACAGATCAGAGATCATGTTTGCAAAAGGTTTTCCTGCAGCCTACAAAGTTCATGCCGAAATAGTGTTTATTTAATGTGTGGCCCTTAGTAATGTGTATGACGCATTATTGATTTATTGCAATTTCAAACCACAGTGATAAATCATGTTGTGGTTGTATACTCATTACCTACAGACAACTGTAGAAAGGATTGGATGTGAAAAACAGTAAAGTGCGAGACACTGTGGTAGCTCTGTTTTTAATTTCTGGCATGTTCTTATAAACTTCAGCTCTGGAATTTGTCATCAAAGTGCTATGAGGTGATTGATTAAAACCTTATTAAAGCTGAGGTGATAT